TTTTAGGACGAATCCTAAAAGACGATTTTTAGGACTGCATGTAACGGCGCCGCACGGAATCCTAAAAATCCTTTAGGACTCGTCCTAAAAATTTTAGGATTCTTTTAGGAGTGTCTAACGAGACCCTAATTTTGTGGTGGCACTGCCAGAGCAGTCCAGGCCCTGGCCCAGGACCCTACAGAAAACCTGCCGCAGCTGGGTCATTCGGCAGCCAGAGGTAGCCTGGCCACGTGGACTCGTATTCCAGGAGAAATACTTTTGCCGCAGCTGGGTCTTTCGGCAGTCGCCTGACCTCATATTCTGGGAAGCACAATTGTTTTTAGTTTTTTTTTTCTTTTCAATACAGACCCGAACATCATCCATCCCGACACTGGTATACCTGGTATACCCACATGGACATCCAACTGTCCGCATAGCTGTCGAGACATTCGGCCCATAACCATGTGATAGAAAGCCAACACCCAAAATCACCCGTCATATTACACAACATAGACACAGCTTGGTGGGGTCTGAGACTTGGTCAGTTGTGGTGGTGGTCCTCTAAGCTCTGTCAGCAACTGCTGCTATTCATATGGACGTGACCACCAGTGGCCGCGATAACACAAACAACCCTACCGGACGGACCCTCTTCTGCATTTTCTCCCCTCCCTTTAAGGGAGAAACCATTGCACGATGCAATTCTCCAACTACGTACAGAATAGGTTACCGATGTCTCCCCCCCCCCCAAACCCCAATCGGCAGGCCATATCAGGTGTCGATGGTTTCTTCTTCCTTTTTTTTTTTGTTTGAAGGGCTGCACCGCGCTTTGCTGCAGTGCAAGGCAAAGGCAACACAGAGGGGTCGAGTAAGCAAACCTACCCTTGCGACCCCTCCAACGCCCGACAAAAAATAATTTAATATCATATGGTCCAATGGACCACGGATCAGATATTAAACTGATCAGAACAGATACTACACTTGATCTTAGCCAAAAATTTCTTCTTCCTTTAAGCTACGTTTCCTTCTTTTCTTTTCATGTGAAAGGACAATGCTAATCCTCTCGACATTGTTCCAATTTTACCCGATGTCACGAAGGACAACTTTAATCTATGCCATATAATATAACAATTCAAGGTTGTTAAAGATGGATGGTGACAGCACTTTAATCTATGCCATATACTATAATAATTTTCAAGGTTGGAAGGATGGCTGGAAGAGAGAGAGAGAGAGAGAGAGAGAGAGAGAGAGAGAGAGAGAGAGAGAGAGAGAGAGAGAGAGAGAGAGAGAGAGAAAGAGAGAGAGAAGGCGCGGTAGTTAGTTTGGAAAGGGTGAGAGAATTATCACTGTAAGGGTTAAACCACCAGTCCATCCGAGGCTACCGTCTTCACCCAAATAGAACGCCCGGTCATTATCGCTGCATCTGGACCGAATGTTGCGCCAAATACAACTATAATGACCAGGCGTTCTATTTGGGTGAAGTCGGTAGTCGTACGAACCTAAATTTGAATTTTGCCGAGCCTGAAAGCGACCGGTACCTCCACTCGGAAAACTGAGTGTCATACTGGTACCGACGTCCTGGACCTGCTGCCAGCAGATGGGACAAAATGGAGGCCGTCGTTTCACTCGTGTTCCACCCTAGCTGAACTCTCCGATGAAGCCAGCCAATGTATCTAGCCTAGTTCGAGTGCCAGATACAGGCAGAACAAAAAAAAGAAAAGAACAGAGAAAAGATCGGCCTGCAGCACCTGTCATAAAGAAGGGAAAAAAGAAAGGAAGAAACTGTCAAGGGGCCTCTCGGTGCTGTCAGGAGCCTCTCGCGGCTCCTTCCGGCTCCTGCTGTGAGAGGCAGCAAGAAAAGGCACGACGGGCCCATGCACAGCAAAGCTCTCTACGTGATTGCAGTCAGATCCATCCAGGCCTGGCCGAACTTGCACCTGACCGTGATTGCGGCCAGACCTGGACCTTTTCCCCCTAGCAGCTGAAGGCATATTGAGCCGTACTCACACTACAGGTAGGACGTTCACTCCAAAGCTCTGGACGTGATTGCAGTCCGATACGTCGATGTCCGGCCACAATTCCACTCAGAGAAAATTGGGCCAGACCTGGACGAATCTGACTGCAATCACGTCCAGAAACTTTGGACTAGTAAGCTGCATCCGGTCTTTTCCTGTGCCTCTCACGGCGCGCCTGACAACGCTAAGGGGACGTTATGTCTCCAACCGTTTCTTCTGCCCGGCAAGTGGCGGGCCAAACCTCTGCCCTTGTTTTCCCCCCTCGTGTCTGCAGCATCTTCTGCATCCCTGCATGTGGAAACATGCACGGCCTAAACCAGCAGGACATCTTGCAGTCCATTTGCCCCTTTCCTTGGGCCCCACCTGCTTCTTCTGTCCTTTTTCTTTTTCCCCTCGTGTCTGCATCTTCTGCACCCGTGAATGTGGAAACATCCACGGCCTACTTCCTCCCCCATTGCAGTGCCGGACATCTTGCAGGCCCATCTACTTCCTTCCCCCATTGCACTACCAGGCCTTTCCCCGAGGCCCGAAATCTTCGGAGAGGCTCAGCGGTGATTCACAAGTTGGCTGGCTGAGGCCATATGTTAGTGGTTTAAGCCTCAGACAGTCAGCCATAAACAGGAGGACAAGTAGGCAGATGGTAGGGGACAAGAGGACAGAGGGGTGGATGTACTACTTCTGGAAATCGAACAACACAAAATCGTCAAACTGTCACTGCTTCTGATAGAATCGCTATGTATAAGCATCAGCAGGGAGCAAGAACCTCACTGAGTGAAATTTTCTCTACACTATCAGTTCAGTTGTTCTCTTTACTTGCTGCAGAACTTCCACCGGTGGTCGAAGGAGCCGTATGGCAAGGATGTTGGTGCGTGATTCACCCCTGTATAATGCGTGCGTGCAAGTAGCATATCTCATTGCCTGAGCATGTATTGTTCAAAGGTCCTCCCTTTGCAAAAGCTGCTGCAGGCAAAAGCATCAAGGGCAGGTGTGCTTCCCCTTCCCAACACGCATGCATTTATACACAGAAACAAGAAATAGTTCAAATGCCACTTCCTTCATGTTAACAAAAAAAGAAAGAGAAAAGAAAAAGAAATCGAATCTTGTGCAGGGGCCATGCTAATCTTCTCTGTACCTTTCCAATTTTAACGGATGTCCAGAAGGACTCAAATGACACGTTCTATACTACACAAAAGAGGAACCTGATTTGAAAACAACAAAGTTTGATAAACAAAAAAAACAACTACATTGCCACCGTGCTCGTCCAACAATCTCTGCTCTGCTCCGTTGTGTTGTGTTCTGCTCTGCTCTGCTCTGCTTATGCGACAAACTCTGCTCTGCTCTGCTCCACTCTGCTCTGCTCTGCTCTGCTCTGCTCTGCTCTGCTCTGCTCTGCTCTGCTCCGCTGTGTTGTGCTCTGCTCTGATCTGCTCCGCTGTGCTCTGCTCTGCTCTGCTCTGCTCTGCTCTGCTCTGCTCTGCTCTGCTCCGCTCGTGGAACAATCTCCTGCTTTGCTCTGCTCCGCTGTGTTGTGTTCTGTCCTGCTCTGCTCTGCTCATGGGACAATCCCTGCTCTGCTCTGCTCCGCTCCACTCTGCTCTGCTCTGCTCTCCTGCTTTGCTATGCTCCGCTGTGTTGTGTTCTGCCCTGCTCTGCTCTGCTCTGCTCCGCTCCGCTCCACTCTGCTCTGCTCTGCTCCGCTGTGTTGTGCTCTGCTCTGCTGATGGAACAATCTCTGCTCTGCCATGCCCTGCTCTGCTCCGCTCTGCTCTGCTCATGGAGGAACAATCGCTGCTCTGCCATGCCCTGCTCTGCTCCGCTGTCTTGTGCTCTGCTCTGCTACAGATAGCAGTTAGGTTCATCCCATGATTTGCATACCATTGGTCGCCCATCTTCCCTCCAGACTATGCGGTCTTCACACAGAGCTGCCGCCACCCAGGAGTAGAGTTCGTGCTCCACCTTGAGCACTCTTTGTGCTACTTCCTGTGCTGAGTCCAATGGGTAAACAGGCACCACGCGTTGTGCTACGATTGGCCCCGTGTCAAATTCTTCATCTACAAAGTGCACCGTGGCTCCTGACACCCTGACACCTGATCTGACAACAGCCTCATGCACGTGCATTCCAAAGTAGCCCTGTCCTCCAAAGGCCGGCAGCAAAGCCGGGTGGATGTTGAGGACAGCCCTTGGAAAGGCCCGAACGAGCTCAGCAGGAACGAGTTTCAAGTACCCAGCAAGAAGCACAGCTTTCACTCCTAAATTTAGCACCATGGTCACCAGTTGATCCGCAGAGACACCCTCGGGCGCTGCTTTGCTCCGAGGGAAAGCTATGACAGGTATGCCATGCTCTCTGGCGTACTCACAACCTCCACACTTGGGCTTGTCCGACACAACCACGGCCACCTCCCCCTTGATCTTGTCGCCCAGAATCGACGCATGCAGGGCGCGAAGGTTGGACCCTCCCCCGGACACAAAGACGGCCAACTTCCTCCTGTCAACGTCCTTGGGCCGCTCCTTGGCATCGTCGGCGGAAATCAAGGGCTGAGAGGGAAGTTCAGCAGCGGACACCGACGTTTCTTCCCCATCCTGTACGTCAAACGCAGGAACAACGCCGGGATCACCTGCAACATCCACATTCACAGGACCTTGACCTTGCAGTGGGTTTGCTGCTGCCGAAATTCGGCGGGAGGAGATTGGCATTTTCATTTTGCACCCCCTGGGGAACAACACATTGTGGTGACCCATAGCATGGCGCGCCTGAGAACCCCTGCTCCAGCTCGCTGACGCTGACACGTGGCCCAGCCTGCAAAGACTGGAGGCAGAGGACAGATCGCCGGTGCATCTCCCCACCGCGGGAAGAACGTTCAAAGAAGAATCGCAGACAAGCCACGATGGCAGCACCTCAGCCCCATGGAAACAACACTCCTTCCACGATTGGTCAGCTTTCAGCTTGATTGTCAATGGGATGTTCTGGCTGCCACCACCCCCATGTAGTGAGCCAACCTCGACGAGACCCTCAGGTTTCCTCTGGGCCCAGATCCCGTTTTCAATCGACAGGCGGGACCCAACCTCCAGAAGACCCTCAGGTTTCCTATTGTGTCTCTGGGGCCATATCCGGCTGTGAATGGAAAGCCGGGCAGAAGAAAAGGAGCAATCTGATGCCTTCTTCTTCTTCGATGTAGAGGCTCTTGTTGACAATGGCACTGCACAATGCAAGGAGAAGGAGGCGCCTCTAGTCGCTGCCCTTCGCCTTCCTGGTCTATCCAAAGAGGTAGCTGCTCCCGCTGACTGAACCACCCGACACGGAGATGTGAAAACAGTGCCGTCTTCTCCTCTGCACGGAGATGTGAAAACACTGCCGTCTTCTCCTCTGCACGGAGATGTGAAAACACTGCCGTCTTCTCCTCTGCACACTGGCTCTATAGACCGACTGCGGTCAGATAGAGCTAGCCCAACATAGGAATACTGAGCAGTCGCTGCCATAGCTGCGCAACTGGAAGCACAAACCGTTCCATCATCCCCAATTAAGCCAGGTTTATATCCGAGGGCCACTCCAAATAAAGGTAAGCAAGTGAAGCCAGTGCGGCTACGCCCGCACAATTCCGATAAATTACCCCAGTAATACTAGACTACCAGAGTGGCCCGGGACGACTTGCCCGGCCGGGCCCAAAAAACTTTAAATTAAAAAAAAAATTTTTTTTTTTTTTTTTTTTTTTTTGCAAATTTGGTAAAGAACTACGATGTGACCCTGAGGCAAAAGCTGTTCAGTTTAATTTTCTGCATACCATAAATTTTTCAACAATTTTTCGAATTTTTTTTGGCTGGGACCTTCTATGGTCCTTGCACGGCCGGGCAGCCCGGGCAAACAAGGTGACCCGGACGGCCAGGCTGGTAGCCTAGCCCAGTACTATAACAAAGTTGTTCTTCCGATTGGTTTACCAAAAAAAAAAAAAAAAAAAAAAAGAGGACGATTCCGCTTCTTAAGTAACTAATAATTACAGCTACCATCTCTATCATGTCAAACAGACTTTGACAGCTCCAGTCGACCAACAGGAAACAGCGGATTCAAATCAACAGCTGCACAATCACCAGAGGAATTCTCCCCACAAACAAAAATGGTGAAAAGAAGAACGAAACCCCAACAAGCCCATATCAAATCTGATGATATGTGTAGCATGCCGATGGATTACTAATAATTAACTAATAATTAACTAATAATTAACTAATAATTAACTAATAATTAACTAATAATTAACTAATAATTAAATTACCAGTAATTCTCGACGATGGCCGTGCGCACAAAGAAACAGAAACGGAAAAATCAACTGATGAAAACCCATGACCGTTCGTTTTTTTCACCGATTTTAAACAAAAAAAATATTTTCATCATCTTGACGAGTGCAAGAAGGCTCCACTGAGCGCAATTGACAAACGTCGTGACTGGATTAAACTCAGAGCTGATGAGCATTTGGTGTTGACGTCAACAACGCCGGCACACGCACAAATATGAAAGGGAGGAGGAGTGATGCAAAACCCGTGTGGCAACAACATCCCCACCAGACGTCAACGCAAAATATAAGACTGAAATTTACAAAAAACAATAATAATAATAAAGAGAGAGATGGCAAAAGAGGGACGGGAGGAGTTCCAGACGTCAAGAGACGACAGCATAGCAGCACACAAAGAGNGGGGGCTTGCAAACAGGGCATTTTGTATCATACATAGTCAAACAGAGCTGCCCGGTAAACCGTAGGCAGAGAGGGAGAAGAGGACAACAAAATACTGCACAAGGGCGCGAATCGCGCACGATATTCTGTCTTCAGACACCCTTCTGTGCCTAGCTCTGTGTACACTCGTTATATCGGCATTTATCCCCACCTGGCACGCTCTTCTTCTTGTTTTATTTTTTGCTTTCTTTCCTCCCTTTCCTAGCATTCGAAAAGCTTTACAGATACATGATACATAGTCTTTGTGAAAAGGAATGTTTGTGTGCGTCTTTTTTTTTTTTTTTTCTTGGCTTGCAAACGAGGCCTTTTGTATCATATTTCTTATAATATAATACTACACAAGGGCGCAACATGTCTGCAGACAGCCTTCTGTGCTTAGCTCTGCGTACACTCGCTACATCCGCATTTATCCCCACCCCCACCCTCATTAATGAAAGAAAGGCCCGCCAGGGAAGCAGCAAAGTAGTAGTTGAAAATGCCACGGGGTTTTGCATTGCAAACCCTCTCCCATTTATCATTTAATATTGTATGCCATTCTTTAACACACTACTCTATTTTTCTCATTGCTTACACCAACCAACCACCTTCCTTTCTTTCTGTCCTTTTCTTTTTTTGCACAGGGACCATGCAAATCTCTCCATATCGTTCCAACCAGCTTTCTCGCGCTGCCACACAAAAACTCCGGTACGTTCCGAAATCTCACCTTTCCGAAATGGCAGCCCCCTCCCTATCCATCATGTGTTCCTTAACCAACTTCGGGCCTTCGCAACCCCCTTCCCGATAATTGAGCCCTTTAATGACCCCTCTCACCCCCCTTTCATCACCCTTTCAGAATCAAAAAGGGGTACTGAAAAGGTACCAGAATACCTTTTCAGACTTCAGTAAGAAAAACCCAACCAAGCAACACACCGATCTCACAAAAATATGTACCAACCATAGTTGCGGCGCACCAGTGCGCAGTGCGGTGCGGGGCGGGGCGCACTGCGCTGTGCGCTGGAACGACAGCACGCGCACTGTGCACCGTGCGCTGTGCGCAGTACCCAGTGCGGTCCGCTGTGCGCGGTGCGCGCACTAAGGGAGTTGCGCCCTGTGCGCGATAAAAAAAAAAAA